ATGATTAGAATGAGGTGGCAATCAAGATAATGACAACCTGCAGAGAATTTTAAAAAAATTTAAATTAGTTATTTTTAGTGGAGGTGTGTGTGTGTGTGTGTGTGTGTGTGTGTGTGTGTGTGTGTGTGTGTGTGTTTTCTCATGAGGACAGGTGACTGTGGAGTCCAGAGGCATCAGGTCCTCTGGAGCCAGAGTTACAGATGGTTGTGAGCTGCCCAGTGAGATTCTGGGAACTGAACTCAGGTCCTCTGAAAGAGCAGTGTGCCTTCTGAACCACTGAGTCACTCTCCAGCCCTGAGAGGGGAGATTTTAAGATTATTTTTAGGAGAGGGGCATCTGTCATACTCTGACAAAAGAAGGGGAGGAAAGACTGGACAGGAATGCCTTTGTTTATGTCTATAGGAAAATGAAAAGTGAGTGGCCAGAGGGAGCAGAGACATTAAAATGAAAGTGATTTGACAACTGCTGAACGCTTTTCCATTTAACCGAACAGGTACTGATAGCAACTGACAAACGCCACATTAGTCACTGTCCCATGTTCCCAGCCAAGAGCCCACAGAAAGTCAACAGTTCATTTCAGTTCAGTTGGTAATGAATAAAAGCTACTTCAGGAGCCCATAGCCTATGGATTGTCATATACCTGTGTGTGTCATACATCATAATAATATAACATATCCTATACATGTATAGACATAAGTCCTTTTATGGGCAATCCCCTACCCCTACACCCCCCAATCCCACTCCTAAAAAATAACTTTTATTCTCAAGACAGGGTTCCTGGGAGCTGTTCTGGAACTCACTCTGTAGACCAGGCTGGCCTCGAACTCAGAGATCCACCTGCCTCTGCCTCCCTAGTACTGGGATTAAAGGCATGTATCACCACCTCTTGGCTCTAAAACTAAAATTAAAATCTACCCTCTTGGGGCTGGAGAGATGGTTTCAGAGGTTCAGAGTGTATAATGCTCTTTTAGAGGACCTGAGTTCTGATCCCAGAACCTACACTGGGCAGTTCATAACCACCTATAACTCCAGTTCCAGATTATCTGATATCTTTGGTCTCCACAGACACTCGCACTCATGTGCAAACATATATGCATGTACACTCACACACACACACACACACACACACTAAAAACAAATAATTTTAAATTATCTGTGAGCATTCTGATGGCCACTTCATGGTCCCCAATCTTAGGCAAAGGCAAGAACAAGAATGGTTAAGCTGGAATGGCCCTAAAAATCTATAACAAGGTTGTCCTATCCAACAGGTGAGAAACAGACCTTATAACATAGTGGGATGAGCTAATGAATTTGGTTGAAATCAGCTTAAAACCAGCCTCCTTCCTTTCCCCTACAACCTAACCTCACTAGGCTTCATTTCCCATAAAGGGAAAATAAATGGGAAGCAATACCCGTGGCAGAACTGTTTGGAGGGTGAAATGGAATAAGAAATGCACAGACCCTCACATAGGTGCTCCAAGCTTAGGGGTTAGTTAGTCTCTTTCCCTGTTGGCTCCTTGGGATTCTTCAAAGAAAGGCACTGATTACAGCTCAGACAGAGAAGATGCTGGGGCAGAGGGAAGACACTGTGCAAGACAATACGTAGCTAAGGACACAGCAACTGCCATCTGCTGTCCCTTCTTTCTGACTCTGAATAAGGACACTCAGACTGCTGGCCAGTGCCAATGGAAAACAGATCACTGGGAGGGCAGAGGGTCCCATCCTTGTTCTTGGGCTTAGTAGGCAGTAACTGCCCAGCTGGCATGGGCACAGTGAAGTCTCCCCTTGTCCACACAAGTCAGAGGGTGTGCAGAAAACATGAGATCAGCATCTGCATGCACCAGGAGAGAGGTTAAAAGGCCAAAAAGGATGCAGCTTTTTGGTACCCTGCACACATCAAGTCCTTCTGTATACATGTGACAACCTCTGTCAAAGAAGCAGGCTTTTTGATGTCCAGAATCACCTCTTACTTAGCCTCTGCCAGTAGGGTCACATTCCTGGGGGAAAGACACTCTCCTGTCCCTGAGAGGGCTATCTTTTCCCCAGGCAGCCTTCATAGCACCTTGCAATGGTGCCTGTGGCAGCCAAGCTAAATGACGAAGTTGGACCAGGAGGTTCAGAGAGATCTGTGAATAGCCATTTAACAGCTCAGAAGGGGCTGGGCTCATAGCCCTTCCTTCAGGGAGCCACATTTTTCTAAGATTAGTATTCCTTGGACTGGTTACTTAATTACTTAGCATCTTTTCCCCTTTGGGTGGGAAAACTCTTTCCTTCTGCAAGGGTTCTCATGATGATTCCAGGCTCTGTTCCCACCTTCCTGCCCCCTCCACCATCCACAGATCTTACGAAAGCATGGCCTCTGAACTGAAAAGTCAAACGTTGGATTCAGCTCAGAGCTGTGTCTCTCGGGCTTAGATGGTAGGAAAGGAGACAGAAAGGAAACGTGTAGCTCTCAGCCCCCTTTCACTGATGGCTGAAGCAACAAACACAGCGGAACAGAGTGACAGGTGGGAGCAAAAACCAAACAATGGCTATCCAAACAGGGGGCTGCTCTCCTTGGAGGACAGAGTCACATAGGCAAACAGCCCACAAATGGAATGCAAACACAGCCACCCAGCAGTGAGAACCTTGAACTCTGTGGGAAGAGCTAGAATGACCCTCTAGGAAGGAAAAAAAAAATCTCTAGGCCCTGCTGCTCAAGGGGGAATATTTATATTTGGAAGTTCAGACCAAGATGGCTAGGCATTGGTCACCAGCACCCCAGAAAGCGGCTCAGAACAGTTTCTCCCAGTATGAGATTAAGGGCATTATTTGTGTGACTCAAGGCTCATTGCCAGGAGGAACCCCCACTTCCCCACAAACCATGTGGACACAGAGCATGGGTGACCATCTGTCCCAGTGCCAGGGATGCTGGATGTCTGCAAAGGACTCTGGGATCTCTGCAGATGTGAGGCCTTGCTGAGTGATGTGTGGTGGCCAAGCAGAGTGGGCCAGGAAAATCTTCGGAGGTGGTTGTTGTAAAAAGCTGGCTCTCCGAATCACTAGTCAATCGCTGTTGTGTTGTTTTGCTTGTTTGCTTGTTTGTTGCTTCCTTTTTCTTCAAAGTGACATCCTTTGAGGCATTAGTAGAAACCAGACAGAGGCCATGCCTGGATCCTCAGCCACACTGGTAACTTTTAGCAGTTTTCAACAGGCCATAGATTTCACCTCTTCTAATCTTACTCTCCAAACATCCCCGACCCAGGCTGGGCAACAGAGGGTAAGCATCGTGTGGACAAAGGTCTGCTGGGCACCAGGAGATCGGAAGACTGCCTCAGGAAAATCGGATTATTCCAGTTCCTTCTCTCCCTGACGCCTCCATCCTGCTCACCCCAAAACCAAACGAAACAGAGAAGGCTGCAAAGCCAAGGCCATGGCCACAGGGGAAGCATGAAAGCATGGCTCTTTAAAGCCTCAGTTCTTACCTTATTTTCCCTAATTCAGTTGCCACTATAGTCCCTTTGCTACACTCACCTCCACGTGAGCCGGGGAGATTCCTACCTTAGGAAGGAGAGTCCTGTGTCAGCCTCCTCAAGCTGGAACTCACAAGACAGCACCCCTCCCTCATATCCCCTTCACAAGATGGAGTCCTCAGCCTGAGCACCAGCTACTGACACCTGCCTTGGGTTCCCAAGTGGCCCCTACACACCACTGTATCTAGTTCACCCCACACAAAGCCCTCCAGGATCTTCCAGTTGCTTTTGTACACTGAGAAAGTCAGGGAATGTCTTCTAAGCTCTTAATTCCTTTCTCTGGAACTCAATTAAACAAGGGGCTGCGCAGCACGTGTCTGTACAGACCTTCAAAGTTGCTTTTCCCTTCCTTGGCTCACAGTCCCTCAGTTTCCCTGTCTTGGGCTGGTGACCCAGAAGTTCACAAAGACTAGGCAGTCTGCAAAGGCAAGAGTACCTACCACTGAACTTGCACGTGAGGTTTTATGAGGGTAAAAAATCTTTTCTTATTTAACTCTAGGAAATACCTCTATGTTCCAAGGATGATCAAGTTGGAGGAAAGTTTGTGAAACACGCAAGATAGACAAGAGAAGTGAAAAGTGGATAAAAATCTTGCCAATCCCAGCCCTGTAGCAACAACAGAGCCCAGTGTGTGCCGTGCACCTCCCACGGAAAGATGAAAAGCTAATAGCACTTTCTCGTATTTTTACTTTCATTTTGTCACATCATCACCAAGAAGGCTAGGAGGAATGGGACCCTTCCATTTCACAGATGGGTAAACTGAGATCCAAAGGCATGGGACTGCCAAGGTCATATGGACACTACATTAGAATCCTACCCAGGCCTTGGCATTTTCTTCCACCAGAAAAAGGAACTAGAAACAAAGACAGCAGGGACAGTAGTTGGGCTCCCATTCTGTGACCAGGACAAGCAGTGTCTGCCTGCAGAGCAGCTGGCTGGGGAGGGAAGGGCTCTGGGACAGTCCCTAGTGTCTTGTAGGAGTTCAACCTCGCAGCCCCCCACTCCTCGTACCCCCACTGTTAAGGTTGACTAGGTATCTCGTTTTGTTTTAAAGTTCACCCTTTGTCCTTTACGATATCCTAAGTGCTAGAAGCCTTTCAAACTCCGAAATCCGTTATTTACTTATACTGGAAAGTAAAGAGTCTGGTCCTGGAGAGACCAGTTCTCCATCTGTCCGGGGAGAAAAGGCTGAAACGAACGAGGGACAGTAGCCAGAAGTTACCACCCCACGAGGTGCGAGAGGAGCTTTAAGGGTTTCTCTTCTTGTAAATGGGACAAGGCTGTGGGCTACCCCATGAGAGAGTTTTTTTCCAAAGCTCAGGGAGGGGACGCATGGGTACACCTCTTAGTCCAGTGGCCAGGGACAGCGTCTCTCCCTCCTGGGCTACTCTCACAGTTCCACCCGCGTGGGTCCACAGATCCGCGGCCCGGATGGGTTATCCCCGAAGCGCCCACGCCCCCTGCCCCATGCTAGTGGCTCTCACTCACCCGCTCTCACGCCTCTGGGGACCCG